GAAGCATGGCTTCAGGCAGCCCGTCTCTGCTTTTCAGCACCACATACTGCCTAAGCGTGCGCTCCTCATTTTTTTCCTCCATGGTTTTTTTTCACCCTTGGATATCCAGGGGTCAAAATACCCATGGGAACCCCCACCCCCCCTGGAGCAGTGCATGCTCAGGCAGCATGCCCTTGCAGTATGGAGAACACCTGACTTTGCGGTATGTGGTACTGCAAACGTGTTTGCAGCATCACATACTGCACAGCTAGACTCATCTAGAAGTGCCCAGTGATACTAACTGAATATTACCTGTTATATTTTTAGCATTTCCTTTAAAAATTATGTTATTAAAAAAATAAACTCAAATATCTGTTAGGAGTTTCAGTTTGAAAAATATTAACTAATTCTACATTGTTCACTTTTCTGATATATAAATGTAGAAAAACAAATATCTTCCTTCTCACTTCTTTGTTGCCTCTTTCCTTCTTGTCTCCTGGAAGAATAGGTATTTGCATAAAGATTATTCTTGTTTTAAATAAAAATGATTTATGATTAAAAATGGAGGTTCTAAACAGAATGGTATACAAAATATGTTTCCCTGTCCCACTGAGAACTTCAATGTTATTTTTTACTTGCTTATATTGGTTGAAACTCAAATTTTCACAAAATAAAAGTAGGGATTTGGAGGGGAAAGTATCAGTCCAGGCTAACAGAAAAAAAATGTTATGTTAATTCCAAAGTCAGAAATCAGAAAGTCATTTTGAACTAGAAAATGTACATGTTGTTTTCGTAGAGTTGAAACGAAATGTTTTAGCTGTTCTGGAACTTTTGTTAAAAAATAAGCTTTGCCTACAAAACACTTGTGTCAACAAAAGTTGTTTTTCCATAGCAACAAAGAAAAATGGGGGTGAAGGGCATGAGGAAGAGGGGCAGCAAAGGAAAGCTAGAGAACGCAAAGAAAATTCTTACCCATTTGGGGTTATAAAGAAAAAAAAAGCCTAAGGCTCAGCATTTAGGAACTACTAATCTGGGTAAGGTTTGTGCAATCTAGCCCCAAACTGAAGTGTTGAAACTATTCAGACACAGACAGAAGTCAAATATAATGATTACCCAAGAGATTATTTAGTTTTAAACATTTTATTATCTTGAATGAACAAAATCACTTTCTGAGTAAGTTAAAAACTTTCCCTCCCTTTTTAGAAATTCCTACATAGCAAAAGATGGTTGTTTATCTAAAGACTAATGTGTATAGTAATTCTCAACCCCCCCAATTGTGTGGCATGCAAATGAGATGTCTTTAAAGGTTTTTAATTCTGGAAGGATGGATGACTAGCACGTTCAGATATGGAGTTGCCCCAAATTAATAGTTGGTTTGAAAATCTTGCTCTTAAATATTTATTACACAAATGAGTAAACAAAATGAAACTACAACAGTGGGGAAAAAAAACCGTTGAGGAAGAGCATGTGTAAGGAATGCTTTCCTTAAGGAATTTAAAAAAACAAAAAAAAAAAACAGTCCTCATGACATGTTTTGTTTTGTTTTTTTCCCCAAGGAAGTATATTTCAATTTACTGTCATGAAAATGACAGATATATTAAAACTTCATGATTAATTTTGGAATATCCTTAATGATTTAATGATGTTCTCTGTTAAAAAGCTGTAACTCAGTTTAGTGACCCTTGAATATTTTTTCAGCTGGGATTTTCAACAGATGCTAAAAGGAGATGGCCAGCACCAAAAAAAGGAATCAGGCACCTGAATTGGGTCATAAGCAGAATTTGGTACTTATGTCCAAGATTGCAATCGAGAAAAAAAATCATGTAAGCTCTGCATCACAGCTGTGGCATATGTAGAGGTAGTCTGGAAGCCTTTCCATTATATGTACTTTGAACTTCTGTGCTCAGCAAGCTCGGCATGACACTTACCAACTTTGAATGAGGGTCATTTCAGTGGAGTATCACCTAGACCACAGATGCCAGCATGCAGGACCCTTAAGAAATTTCTTGATACAATTTTTGAATACATGTTGGAATTACATGAGATCACAAACTTCCCCATATGCTGGGTGTTGTGGATGACACAGGAGCTAGGGACAGAAGTTATACATAAACTGGTTTAAGTGATCAGAATCTGGTTTAAACCTGTAACAGAACAGAAGTTCCGTGCACATAAACCAGTTTCAAAATGGCTGAAACTAGTTTAAGATCAACCTTGTTGAATGTAGTATCAGGCTTAACTGATTTGGATCAAGCTGGTTTATGAAACTCTGTCCCAGACCCCTTCCTGGTTTAGGTTCAATCATAGTCCCCCAGGATCCCAGCATGTTTCCAACCCTGGGAAAGGCTGTGCGATCAGCTCCAGAGAGCAGGGCTGGCCCCACCCTTCTACTCCTTAGGTGGAGTATTGAGGGCTGACTGACAAGGGGGCAGGGTGCAAGCCCAGATGGGGATGCAGTCCAGTCTGCAGGGGGTCTGCCCCCCCAAGACAAACCCCAGCTGGGTTTGGGGCCAGAGAGGGGGGCTAAACAGCCCTTACCCTGCTCAAACTTATGGCTGGCTGTCACTGTGTACTACAAATCCCACAGGAACTTGGAGCAGGAAGAAGAAATGATGAGCAATCACGCAGAGTCCTGCTGCTTTAATTCTGGACTGCAAGCACCAGAGGCCTTGGAGGCAGCAGAAACACGAAGCGAATGCACAGCCAGGGACCCGTACTCTAGTGCCCCCCAGCTTCTGGCCAGAATGACTGCAGGCATGTGGCTGAATTTCCTGAATCAAAGGTAAATTGTTGTTAATTTCTGTTTCAGTTTAATCTATGAAGTTTAGACTAACCTGCAAAGACTGAATTGATTTAGCCTTGGTCTTTATCACTGTTTGTACCTAAGCTGTGAGCCCAGACAATAACCTAGTATTTATTAACATGATTGCTAAGGAAAGAGAAAAGGAAGAGAGACCCTCCATAGAGCTTCTTTTTCTCAGAATTGTTCTACCAGAGTGAATGCTGTAATGAGGTCACATGCATACATATTCTGAATGTCTTTCCTTCATTTTTATGTCCTTGTGGTGAGGGATTTAGCAGAATTCACAGTTTTGTTGGAATCTCAGAAGGCTATGCCACAAACACTTCTGCTGTTGCCTCAAGCTTACAATCTCCAGGCTGTCAACCATATGCCTTAGCACCCATGCCACTCCAGCCCTCAGTTTGACTGTGAAAACTAAATCAAAATTGCCTTGGGGACAAAATAGGGTGTGGGCCCTAGATTTCTGATACTATGAGCTCCAGAACTACCACAGTTTTGAAAGAACTGAGCAGCATGGTGCTGACCTCATATTTAAGCCTGTTGGTTACAAAACAGGATGTTCCTGCACATGAAGTATAAAGTTAGCTAACTCTGAGTTTTACATAAACAGTTTATTTTAAAAGCATATGCCCAGTGCCTGGTTTATATTTATGGCTCACAGAAAGACATAGTGTGACGCTGGGGCAAATAATTTTTATATTCAAATTTACCAATCTATAAAGCAGGTATAAGAAAGCTACCATAACTACTGCATGAAGGTGTTGTCAGACTTGTTCAATTGCTATTCCCAATAGCTTAGGTTGCTTGGATGAGTAATTTTCTAAATGGGAAAAGTGTCGTTGTTTTTCAAGAGGTAAGAGCTTTTCTAGATGTTATTTCTTGGCAATTACTTGCTATTTATTTTGTCTATTTTTTATCAGAGTGTATTAGAACCTGGATTTTCATACACTTAGCAAAAGCTCATGAGGGATATTTGTAGTCCTAGCAAAGAGTTGTGCAGAACTCCTCGGTGCTGTTTGTTGCAGTTTGTATTTCACAGGGCATCAATCAATTGCAAAGTTCCCTTTGAAGTGGACATCTCATCAATCAGCTGAGTGGTTTGTCCACATTTTGTCAATCCACTGTACACACAGCAGATTATGAACTATCCTAATATGAAAAGTCTGAGATTTACTGTATTAATAGAATACTAAGAAATTCAACAAAAGGTTGAGTGCCCTCATATCTTAATGAGTTTGGTAAGCAGAGGGTGTTTATCATCCAGCAGAATTTGTACCATGGATGAGTATATTAGTTTATTTTACTAAATGGTAGCATCAGAATTCATCCAAACTTATTTCAAAATAACATGTGTATCTAGCACAACAATTCTACAAAAAATGTATAATGTATAAGCTATCCTTAGAACATGTGGATATACCTTCACAAGAAAATTGTTTTTTGGTTATTATATCACTTATATATGCCCAAGAGAAATAAAATGAAAAAAATAAACTAAACCCAGAAATTTAGGAATATCTAGTAGACAAACAGCAATACTTTGAAAGTGACATTAGTAGAAGTTTTTTGGTGGTAGGGATTTGTTTTATTTTGTTTCCATTCAATTTTAAAGCACATTTTTAGGAGACCATTAAAAATGTGTGTGTCAGTTGTCAGAGCCCAAAAGTAATCTTATTGAGCAGGAATGCATTTGTAAATATCATTTTCACAGCTTCAGGATATAGGTTAGGTTTTATACGGTAATTTTCATTAGTTTTTTTACCCACTGATCTAAGTGCTCTTTTGCCAAGACACTGAAAGCTTTGATAATATTCACCTCCCCACAAAGAACAAAGGTCATAGTAGTAACATTTATAATAACTTTCCATCTAGTCCTGTACTGACAGAATCCTCAAATTCTCACTGATTGTACAAAATATCTATGACCAAGTTGTCGCAGTACCAATGAATTAGAAATGAGGATTGTTGTAGTATACTGTTCATTTCAAATGAAGATGAGTCTCTCAAAGGTCATGTAGCAAAGTGAGCTAGGCCAGAGTTTAGATGAAAATATCAACAGATCAAAATCACCAAGGTGAATAATGAATAAAGGAAAGACAAATTTACTATATGTGGCAAAAAGAACCAAGAGTGTTTGACAACAAGAGTGATTTAGTTTCACCAATAGTCATTGAATGAACAAGTTTTCTCACTACTTTCTTTAACTTAATCACAATAATGCCAACTCTCAGGTAAAAAGTCACAAGACTCCTGATTTCCAAGTCAAATTAACTCTGACTCATGATCTCCTGATAGAGAGATCAAATCTTGACATTTTTTCTTCTGGTCTATGTACAGAGCACCAAGTTGGTAAGTCAGTGGAGGGACAGGGGTAAGGGGAGAGGTGTGGGGGGATGAAGATTGAGGCCCCCACAGTGATGGAGGGATTGGGGCAGGGGCTGGGGTGAATGGGGCCCTGGGGCTGGGGTGAGTCATGCAGAGTGTGTGTGTGTGTGTGTGTGTGTGTGTGTGTCCCTCACTCCCAAACCACAGCCCCGCCCCAGCCCTGCTGCTGCCTCTCACTCCTGACTTCCAGTACCCTAAATCCTGCCAGGGTGTGAAGAGACCCCACCCCTCCTCAGGATCCAAACCCCACACCCTCAGCCCCACACATCTTCACAAATAACCTCTCCCCCCCACACACACTTCAAAAATAGCATCTAATGATTCACATTCCAAATCCCTTGATTTTTCAGCATTTGTCTCATGGTTTTTGACACAGTGGGGTTTGCAATACTGTAATCAAATAGTCTCCATGCACCTGCAAGGTTGAATCAGCTAATATAGTTAACTTCTTTTGGCTTCAAGGTAAAACCTTCAGATTAATATTTTTTAAAAGCCATATTTCTGGGGTCTGACCTACACAACCCTGAAACAACCTCTGTGGAAAGCAAATATAATAGGGCTAGACCTCATTAACTTCTCAATTTCCCAGGTTGAACTTTCCTTCCTTTTCTTAGTAAAAGGCATCCCCCACACTCTCCTCAAATATATATAGGTAGTCAGCTAAGAAGGGAGAATTTGGGGTCACAATCCCAAGTTACTGTACTGTTTGTGTATTTTATAGTAGATAGAAATTGGAGACAGAAAATAAGACCTAAAAACAGAAATAAGAAGCAAGGACTTCCTGGCCATTTATAGATGTTAAGTTTTTCCTAGGTTTAATCTATGTTACAGCTGTCACTATATACACATGGACATCTGTAGTCCAAATTAAAATTGAAGTAATCCCCACGGAATGAGAATTAAAGTTAATGCAGACTAGGGCAGTCCAAATTACGCCATTTAAACTGTATTAACATGTATATATGGGATTGGTTTTAGGATAAACAGTCCTTTGGAACTCAGATAAGCTTTCCTTAGGAATGCAGATAAGCATGACAGATATCACTCCACTCAAGGGAAACTCAGCTGGGTTTTTGCAACACAACAGAGGCTATTAGGCATAAAGTAACACCTTCATGAAGTCAAATGTGCCAACAACACCTCACCCTAAGTATCAGTATCCTGACTAGGCCCCCAGCCCTGCTCAGGTACACAGGTCTGTGAAGAAGGGGACAACCCACCTTGATGATCTATTAACCCTTAATTTAAATTGAAATTTGGTTTAAAGTGTATGATGCGAATCTGTTAAAATAGTTTAGAAAATGGAGAGCACATGTACAAATGGTCCTCCATTTCAACTGAGTGGCCTATTAGACAACAGAATCTTATTCCCATATGCTTTCTCTGACTCAATAATTCCTGCATAGTGTTCTAGCTTTTGCAGGACAGAGAAAGGGTCCCTTCACTCAGACTATTCTATAGCTTTGTGATTAATGAACTCTCCTGTGAAGTGGCATATAATACTGAATTCCCTTAGGCTGAGGAGGCCTAAATCCAGGTGTAGCAGGGCACTAAGGTGCCTGCTACTGATAATGGTAACATGGGCTTAGCTGCCACTCAATAGGGCAGCACAGGTGTGAGTTGCTAAAGCAACTGATTGTGTTAGCTGACTGGAAGGGGGCAGGGCCTGGCCTGTATAAACAGAGGATGCTGAGGCCAGAG